AGACCTTTCATCAAATTATCAGAACATTCTTTTAAATTGACTATATCATTCCTGTAATAAGTTGAGTGGTTTAACTCGATATATGTCGACTATGGAAAAATGTTTTACCTTTTTTTGGCGTAACAAATGAAAATTACACACTGTTATGTGTTTCTATTGATCAGCCAGTTTCGGCCAATGGTTTTCAATCACTGAAGCGTTTACGGATCCATTGCAGTATTGGTAATGTCGTGTATCAAAATTAAAAGACTTTTCTGTTTGCAGGTTTAAAGAAACTGAAGATTGCTGCCAACGGTCAAGTCGTGATTGAAAATTAAAAAAAAAAATAATAAGGATCTATACCTGATGAAAATACGATGGATATAATGATGAAATCCATGCACGACAGGTGCTTTAACAGTATGCTGTGGCAGAATTTAAATTTACCTGTGAAATGAACTGGGACAAAAATTACCATCAGACATTACAGTCATGTGCGCATAAGTGGTACCTCGCTCGTGTGCAGAACCTGTGCGCGCGCAATGCTCATTCAATGCGCGCGCAATGCTCAGTTGACGTCACATGATGACTAGGACCTATTTGCGATTACTTGAAGCAAGCCTTATATGCAACTACATACTTATACTCATAGCTTTAACTTTTCAAGCCTACTTTCCAGCCTTGTGATATATAGTGGCTTTTGCATACCGAATCCACCAAAAAAACACGGAATTTCATTTTAACAAATAATATTGAAGATGAAGGCACTTTCTTTCTTTTAAAGAAAGACTATTTTTAAATACTCTGATCCCATTAACATTCATCTTGTTTATCTATAGATACAGGATTAAAGTGTAAACAAAATGACTGAACATTAGCGAGTGTAAAGCTCACTAATCACTTATTTTATTTGCATCATTGTTATATAATTGGTTGTCGTAAACTGTAAGAAAAAAGGTGGGTTAAACACTGGATGAAATGTTATTTGCCCAACTTCGGTTTGAATTTGCCTTTTGTTGGTTAATTTGGGTATTAAAATGGGCCAACTATAGGTTTATTGGAAAGAATTTGCCCAAGAGTGTACGTGTGTATGCAGTTGGTAAGTTCACCAACATCATGGGCGGCGATCCCGGTGAGGGGGTGGGAGACGCAGGTCTCCTCTATCTGACCCAATAATTTGAAGGCGGGGTATCAATGTCATTATCCCCCCCCCCCCCCTATAATCCGTGTGTATAGATTTCCCAAAGCTGCCCTGTAGTTTTCCAAAATTGTGCTATAGTTGTTATGCGAATCTTGTAATAGCACCCTCTCTAGTCCGATGGTGTACAGCTCAGACAAATTAGAAACTTTGGAAGAAAATTCCTTCGATTGGAAGAAAATTCCGCGATTCATTCCTTCGTTATTCATTCATTTCATTCATTTCGGTTTTATTGTTGAAAAAGATGGTGACCAAAGAAAAAGTCCAAGGACTAAGAATAATTTTGGCTTACAGTAATAATTAACATTTACAATGATTGCTAAGCATTACATACATGTAAACAATAAAGCTTTAACAGACAAAAACAATAAAGGTGACTAACATTACAGATAAAATTTGAGTAATGAAAGAAAAACAAGATAGGAGAAACAATTGTATGAACACCTAAAAACCACAACTACTGAGAATTAATTAATCTGATCATAGAGGAGACAGGAGATTGTTTATATCTCTGAGTATTGATACGAGGCATGGTAAGGTGGTTGGAGTTCCTGAGATTCAATTACTGGCAACAACCTTCTCGACGATCCGACCAACTAATAAGCAATCATAACTCACTGAGCTCGCATCCAGGTTTCATGCCTCGTATAGATGCCATCAACCAAATAATACGGCCCATGCACTGTTTGCCTCTATAATCAGGCGCGGAACGTTTTTCAAAAGGGTCACGTACGTGTTGTCTAAGAAGGATCTTTTGCCACGTGTGTGAATCTGAAAACTTCGCGACAACAATCTTAATTTCTTTCGTGGAAGAAAAGCAATGCATAAAAAAAACCTCAGATCAAAGAAATCGTCATGCCTGAAAACGCAGTAGTTTTATAATAACAAGGATGCTAAATCGTACTTTCGGTTTGATCCTCAGTCCTGTGGACAACATTTCGATTCAAGATCCGGGTTATTGTTCCGCTGAAAGTAAACATTATGTTTAGATGCCTTAATTCCAAGCAAACAGTTATGTTAAAAAAAAAAGCAAGGTCAGAGTCGGTAGTGAAAGAGAGTAAATACAGCAGGGTTGAACTTGGGTAGGCATATTCCTGCTATTACACGCAGGAGTTTTACCAATTACATTTCACAGTTGTCAGGTTTTAAATTTGCTACAGACTAAAAAACTGTGTTCACGTGTGGTTTGGTGACAATTCCATATTGGAACCGTGGCTTATACTCAACAAATGTCATCTTAAAGAGGTTGTCGAATGCTGAAGTCGTTTTGTTTTTTATATTTTCTTGTTGTAGAGTAGACCCATATATATCATAATGACAAACTCCTAATCTTTTGTAATGTGCGTTTATATGTTTATAAAACTGAAATTCATCGAGTAATTTGTTGGTCAGCGAGCGCATAATTGAAATCAACAGTCGCGGGTTTTCGTAAAATCAGAAAAATAGGGCTGCATAGGGAGACCTGTTTATTACATCACGATTTACTATGTTTTGTTTGCTGCCCCCAACGACGACTTTTACACAAATTACACTTTCGGGTCAAAACAGGACCTGAAAAACAACTCTCAAAAGAACCTTTTGTATTCATTTCATGACAGAAACAATAGTCGTTTTTATTTCATCACACCTTAGGCTACATATACCCAAAAATGACGAAAATGTCTTCGAGCATTCCACAACCTCTTTAATTTGTAACCCGAAGTGTCCTTACACTTAGTGCACGTCTTCTAAGTTTCAAGCTTGCTCAAATTTCCTTGATCTTTCCTTTCATTCTTTCAAATTTCAACAAGAAATTTACTCTCACCGACTCAAACTAGCGATAATAAATTGTATTCACTTAATCGTGTAGATTGAGTTTTCAATCGAGTTTCCCCTGGATTGATATTTTCACACTTTGTCAATCCACTTTTAGAGTTTAAAAACGTCACTTTCAATTCTGTATAATAGTCCCAGTCTTTGGAATTAAGAGGGCAGTGGGCCTACTTTATTTTTTACCTACTATTTACATGGTTTTTTTGTTTGTCTCTTGTTCCCTACAAGACTCATAGAAAGAAATCTCATCATCAAAATTAGTCTGATGGAACTGTTTTAAGAAGAAGCAGCAAGTCTGGATATTGTATTGATATTTTTGCAGGAAAATGATCCTTTGTTAAACATATATACATATATATTTTTTTTGGGGGGGGGGGAATTCCAATAAGTCCAATAAGCTGAATGTAAAAATCCGATATGAAGTTTTAATTAAGTTTTTGGTTACTTCAACATTAGGAATTGTTTATCCCCCATTAAAATAAGCATGTGATTACTAATTTATGTTGGCATTAACACAATGAACACGCACGATTACTACATGAAGCGTAACCATGACAATAACAACTCAGTTGAAAAGTTGTTCGGAAAGGGTAGGAAAAAAATCAAGGAAACGCCCCCGCGAGTGAAAAGTTAAACTCTGCTTGATTTTCTTGTTTGCTACAACGTGTTGACAAAATGTTGATCACTCTAGATCCTGATCGGGCGGTTTGAATGGGCCATTATATTGGCCTGCAATTCATTACTGCTTGCGTGCCGTTTCTGTGAAAAAAGTCTGTTAAATGTCAAAGCAACAATCACAGGGCGAGCAAAAGAGATGTGGAGAAAGAACCTCAGTTTTTCCAAGTACAAAATATTCTGTACAAGTCCAAGCTTCACTTGGGTATGGAAGAACCAATTTCACAGCCCTTTTTGAAGCTATACCTTTGCTGTGGAGACTTCTAGTTGCTCGGCACAAAGACAAATCAATGATTCAGCTGAAAACAAGTCAACAAGATATACCCGACGTTGCACATATTCAGCGAAATTGAATACTGTACACCCCGCATTTCATTATTATTTAAAAATGTAATCCCAATCAGACGGATCGATTGTTTTCTTGCATAAGAATGTCAGCTTGGCTTGACCTTGTTACTCCCCCATTTGTTTGAAACACATGGTATAGGCTCTTTGCACAAGTACCCCCTTAACGATAAGAAAGCGAAAGTTTGGGAGACCATCATGATCGAACGCTGATTACTCAACAGATTTAAAGGTGGACTCAGGGTCAAGTCGACTCCTTGCCACCATCCTAATAAGGCCGATTGGTTGGATCTAAGAACAGATTTCTTTACACGTTACCATAACGACTACTTTATTATTACAGGAACAAAAGGGGTTCATAGTGTAACGAAATTGGCCTGAGTGCTTGTAGCTTTCGCGCGTCATAGCACTGAGGCGTGCCATACTTGCTGAGCATGCGCAGTGGGCTGCTTAGGTGACCTTGAGCTGTTTGCGCGCGCTGTGCCTCGTGTGTGTACCACTGATCTCTATATAAAGACTGGATAGCTAATAAAGAGCCGCACAATGTACGAATTTGACGCCAAATTGGTGAGACCGGCTGGTGATCTACAAAGGACAAGTTGCCGTCTTTATAGACAGCATGATTTCTTTTGTAACGTCGCGGCTCACTTGACTTATATTTTGGCCACCACCACTGACCAACTGACCAAGGTTTACTACAATTTTTCTAACGTAGTGGTTACTTTTATAATGCCGCAAATCACTTTTTCGGCGTTTTTGAAATAATAATCACTACGGAAATGTGTTCCTTTTAGAACATCATAATATGTGTACGTGACCAAAATGCGCGTCAACTGTTGATACAACGCGCGCGTATTTACGCGTAGAACGTTCGTATTATACGCGGCCATCTTCGTGAGACCGGGGGCGAATTGGTCAATATGCAAAGTCTACTGTGTGAATGTTGTATGCATATCCGCTATCCAGTCTTTATAGAGATCAGTGGTGTGTACGTGGCGGGAGTTGCTGTGGAGCTAGCGGACTGAAGAGACGTGTGACGGCGGAGCTCTAAGAGAGTTGTTGTAGGGCGCTAGGCTTGTGTGCGTCAGCGTCGCTGTTGGTGTGTAGTGGGAGCTGGTAGCAGCGAGGCGGAGCGGTATAGCGACCGACCGCCGGATCCCAGAGCAGCGTGAGAGAGGCTGATCGGAGTGTCCGAGACAGCGGGACTGTCGAAGCCGTGTCAGAGAGTCCGTGGCGGCGGCGGTTTGCCGAATCTAGTTGCAGCAGCTCATAGTGCGGGGTATGTCAAGCTGACGTATTTGATAAAGTTAGTGACGAGCACAGTTCAGGACCGATATTGTTGAACCTCCCCACAAGTTATCACATTCAGTAATAATTTCTATTAAGTGCCTTCAGTAATAAACCTCTCTATCAGTAATTCTAAGGCTCAGTAGGAAACTCGATTATATCCCTTAAGGATACAGGAAACCCTTAAGGAACCTCAAGGCTATACCTTAAGGAACAGCAATCCCTTAAGGAATCTGCAACATAACTGAAGTGATTAAGGCGTCTTAGTTATAATAAAGGGAAAACCCCGCGGCTCTTGAGTGATCTCTCTTTGTCAGATTATTGGGTTCCTGCGCTGCTCTGCCTGGTATTTATCTCCGCTCCATAGGGTCCCCGGGAAAAAGTGTTGCGCGCGGCGATATATGGTTGCCAAACGACCTCCCCCACAGTGCTGTAGGGCTGCCGCTCGCCTGTGCAGTACCGAGTCAAACTTGACCCGGACGGGATTCGCCACAATAGCTTAGAATCATAGCAAAGAACCCTAGTACTTTTAGATGCTACCTGTTGTTTACAGTATTTTGATTTTAGATCCGGGTCGTGCTGCCAAAAATAAACCTGTTTGTGCAAAATTCAATGAAAAGTCTTTTGTTGACAGTAACAATGTCACGGTCTATAGGCCTAGTTACAGGGAACATACACCATTTGCTTGTACTGTAATTTTCAGAAATGGATTGACTTTGGGGGTTGGTAATATATAGCAAATATTGTTACACTGACTTTTTGACGTTTTTGGTTCCTAGATGCCATAGAAACCCAGAAAAAAAAAATCATTTTCCTGTTGTCTGGTTCCCTGACTCAATTTAAGATGAAACAGGGACATTTATAGACGTTGGGAATCGTAAGATCATGGAACCACCTCTAGCTGGCTTGATACCCATTCATAGGTGTGCAATCGATTGCACACAGTTGTGGACTACGAAATATGGTCACTTGGGACCAGTATTTGAAAATAAGCCATGTTTTTCCAACGCTGGTCGGCCGACCAGCGTTGGAAATTGATAAGAAAATACCAATTTTCTTGAAAATGACAGTTTACCAGCTGCCATGATTTTACAGGATGCTTTAGACTGTCATTCACTATAACAGTCCAGCAAGGTATTTAAAAATTTGGTAGTTTTATTTGTTGATGTTGTATTTTCCTTTAAGCTAGGCCTATTGAAGGGGGTCGAGTACAATTGGGTAGAATTATGTAGGCCTATACATGTAATACGCGTACTTGTTAAAGTACAAGTAAAACAAATTGTACACGTTGCCTGGTTTTTATTTTTGCCACTTGTTGTTGCGTGCTAATATTATCTGCTCTCGTGAAACTTGCACGCAAATAATTCCGTTTCACAGTCACATGGAAGAGACCAAATATTCCTAGAAGTTTATGAGGAAGGGACAGTTTATTCATCCAGTAGTCCAGGCGTATACTGAGGTACCTGGATACGAGGAACTGCAGTCCAACTAATACGTTGGTCATACATTTCCGTGCACAAGTACCCCCTCTACGGTAACTTGAGAGAGATACATATGTGACTTGAGTGCCACTGGCATCGTGCGACCAAGACGCACGATAGGTTTGTACATTGTTGCTCTGTAAGTCTCCCACACTGATGTTTGTTTTCTGAATATTTTAATGAGATGCGCCATAACCAGGGCAGAGATGCGTGGGAAGATGGCACAACATAAATACGTGATCAGTTTTGCCTGGGACAAGGAATTCAGCCAATTGCAGAGCTCCGAAATGACTCAACGTCTAAGGAGGCACGGCCTATCCTAATTTACCCAATCATAATTCAACACCAAATCTGGCCCATGACGTAAAATTCCACTACAAATCAGAGCGCGTGTCCTTGACTAACGGCCAATCAAACCCCAGGTTACATCCTGGTGTTAAAAACACAAAATGTCCCAGCGCAAGTGCAAAAAATAATATCCGTAGCTAAGCTGTCACTGTCCCATCTCTATAAAATAAGCGACGTTTTCTCGATTGGGACACTTCTGTCGTTTGGTTAAAGCATACAGACGCTCCGTGACACCTGAGCTTTACTACACCTAAACCTCACAGTAAAAACTTCGGGTTTTTTTTCATCAAGAATTGTAAGTCAAGAATCTTTAATCTCTCTCTCCCCCCCCCCCTCCCCCCCTCTCTCTCTCTCTCTCCCTGTGAATTGAAATTAATAATCATAGAATGCAATTTTTCCTTGGAATTTAAGCATAACAAATTGTCTTTTTTTCAGCTTTGCAAACAATTTGAACGGACCATGGCAAACACTAAAGGTACACCTGGAGGGTGGTCAGATCCAATGCCGGCAACCCCAAAAATCCAAGGATACGCTGACGCGGTATGGAGGAGTAGTTTAAAGAGCCTATGAAGTAGGATTTTTAAAAATGTAATCCCTGAAAACGCACCCATTTTGTACCATTAAACAATTAGAGTTACGGTTATTTTTTATGCAAATCTGAATTTTCATTTTCTCGAGCGAAATGTTGACGTCATTCGAGGCAGAAATGTCTATGTCATACCTTTCGTGTAAGGATCAATTCACAATTTAAAAATAAAGTCTTATACTTTATTTAAAATTATTTTACTGCCAAAAGTGGCAATAAAAAGTTCGAGGCGCTATATATTGTGGCCGAAAACAATCCAGGTTGGTTGGGTTACTGTAAACACACAATTTTGTTGGACTGAAAAGTTCCCTGTAGATTTCCTTATTCAAGTGCAGCACGGAAAGGATGTACGTGCACTTGATGGACGGCTCCCATTTTGCGAACATAAGCTCACCCTAAATCTATGCATGAAAACCACTTTTAAATAAAAACGTGCAATTTTATTTTTTGGGGGGGAGGGGGGTTGCAAATAGTCTGAAGCCCTCTCCATTGACCTGGATAAAATATGCCATCCTGATTGTACCATGCATTTTTTTAGCTACGGCTGAGCAGCTCTGGAGGTAGTAACGTCTCTCCGTTGCTTAATTGGCTGGCTGGTTGGTTGGTTAGTTCGTAACAAATGTCAGCACATACCTTTGTTGGCCATCAATCACCTTGCCCCTTTAGCCCTTGCAACAAGACGTGCTTCAGGTCTCCACCAGCTACCAATATTTGCAGTCGTGGAAAATAGGGTCACGAGCAGTGTTGTAGGTCTCGAGACCGGTCTCGGTCTCGAGACCGGTCTCGAGACCACTTTTTGCTGGTCTCGGTCTCGGTCTCGGTCTCGGAAGCTGTGGTCTCGGTCTTGGTCTCGGTCTCGGTCCCCTTTGGTCTCGATATTTTGGCTGGTCTCGGGTCGAGACCGGCAATATGTAGCTTTTACAGCTCGATCGATTACTTTGTGTTCACTTCGTTCAGTACCGTTGTTATTTAAAACATTTGCTAGCCCGTAGATCAAACTTGTTATATATCGCGGTCGGTTTGGACTCGACTGCACGTTGGAAAGTTCCCAAAGTACATGTAAAACTGCAGCAGTACCAGTCACTGAACGATTTGGAACAAGTTCGGCATTTATCTGTTGAGTCGGCCACATAAAGCAAAGTATAAACTTGTAACAATTTATGCAATAAGGGTCAACCATTTTTGGGGATTGTGTAGTTTAGCCCACCCCTGTGGGCGTAATCACTTGCATTTTGTATTCTGATAATAAATGAGGTGCTTCAAATTAGTTATATTTTCGACCCCACACAATGTTCTCTTTAATTTGGGACAGTATTTTGAAGAAAAAGTAAATTTTTCTACCTGATTTTCCAGCTTTGAACTCACACACTCTTAGGGGCCATTCAGAATTTCAATGTTATAAAATTTCGACTTTTTTTCCAAATTATTTTGACCCACCCACCCACCCCTAATTTCGATTAATAAAAAACTTAACATGTACATGTACATGCACTTGCATGTACAAGTACTTGAACACCATGTACATGTGTGTCTAGTTCAGTGACGGCGTGAAGTTAGTTGTCGGTCTTCCTCTTTTGCACTGGTGACCTTCAGTATTCTTGTGTTTTGCCAGCTGATATGCTGTTGGGAATGACAGGTTGCAGTTTTGGAAGCCACAAAGATGACCGTGGTTTTGTCGTTTTCTGGATGAGGTGGATGACATGTGACATACGAGGTTGTGCCTGTCACGTGAGGTAGCTGAGAACCCCCTCCCCCCCCCCCCCCCCCCCCCCCCCACAGGCTGCGGTCCTCGTAGTCGTGGAGTCCAGTGGTTGAATAGTCCAGTTTTTATAGCGATTGGATACACGTAGGCCTACATGACGTACATGTACAGTACACAGTGGCGTAGCCACGGGGGGGGGGGGGGGCGTGGGAGGGGGGCGACAGCCCCCCCCCCCCCCCATGAAACCTTGTCGCCCCCTCCCCCACTGAGATTTTGAGTTTCTAAAAAAAATTATCATTGATCTACATGACGCCCCCCCCCCCATGAAATGTTCCAGCGCCTCCTCCTCCTCCCCCCCCCCCCCCCCCCCCACACTGAAAAATTCCTGGCTACGCCACTGGCTCCGGTTGGCCATGCACACCATGGCTCGAACTATAGTGTGATCCGGTACACTCGCTGGCCCCGTCCAGCTGTTGCTTCCCCGTCACTGTAGCGGTCCGCTCCCGCTTCAGTCCGGCCGTCTCTGCGAAGCGAAAGCTCGTACCGTGCCCACTCGGTTCAGCTAGAATCTTTGGCATACTTGGTTCCCCCATGCAGTTAGTGTTGTGAGACTCCGACACCGGTGTTGAAACCAAGGAAAAGCCTGACGTTGGAGGAATCCCCACGAAGTTAAATAAACCAGTAAAGTCACTGTGAAAAAGCTCTGTTTCCCGCCAAATTCGTTATCATAGATAATAATGTTGATTCTAATATAAAGTTAATGAACTAATAGGGAATGCAACAATAATTTCAGGAATGAATTGCAGGGCAGCTCCGTCGCACAGCCTTTAACGACCACTTGAAACTTAGAACTGATAGACACATGGATTACAAGATAAGAGAACTGTTCAATTGCCTCATTGATGTTCTCCGAAGTCACCGTGTTAAAATTAGAAAAAGTTTTAACTATGGAAGGTTGTGAATCTTTTCTTTCAAAACTGAGGGAAGAATTATTGCAGTCATATTTATTTTATCGTCAATGTAAAATTGTGTCTTATTTCATTTTTTTCTCGGGTATTTTCTTGTTGTTTCTTTAGTGTGTGTATTTAATGTGAGTGTAGACCTATGTATGTCAACTAGGTTGTTTGTTTTTATGGTTTGCATTTTTCTCTCTGGGGAATGGGATTGCTTTTGTTTCTCGGTTTTGTTTTGTTTCGTTTGTAATAATCTTTTTAGCCCGTTTGGCATTCATTTCCGTTATTGAGTCTGGTTGTTTATTTTGTTTGTTTGTTTGGTTGGTTGGTTGTAAGAGTATTTATTTATTAGTTCGTATTTATTTATTTGATCTGGAAGGCTCATGTCACGTAATGTCCCATTAAATTGTTTAAAACTTATGTTGAAAATAACATCTTCATGGATTCCCAGCACAACTCCTCACAATAAGCCCAGTGTTAACAATATTTCTCGTTGTGGGTCTGAACATGAAAATTGTCGGTTTGTGTATTATGAATATGATCAAGTGAAATTATATATGCACTATTTTGCCCATTTCCCTCAAAATTGCATATTGCAATATTGTACATTTTTATCAATTTGCTAGAATATGTGATACCTCACCAACAAGTATCTTTTAACGAAATTCAATCAGAATATTTATCAATTTGTTTAAACATTTTTAGTTGTGTAACTTGTTGGTGTCCATGCCACACTGTACGATGGTGTAGCCGTGCGTTATGCACTTTGATTACTTTCGTTTTGACGGGGACTTTACTGAATAGAGTCTGGTGACTGTACATAGAAATTTCTTTGAATAAAAGTCGAATCGTTCATTCATGTGCACTTGTTATGCAAAGCAGGGGCAGTGGTTCAAGGATATCTATGTCGACTTGCAAAAAGTGTGCAAGAACACGACTTGAATGCTTTTATGTGTTCACAATACAACGACGCTGTTTAGTTATTTCACTGTGTGACACAGTGACAAATTTTGGTATCATAATGGCGTCAGCGATACTTGCTGGGGAGCTCTTGCGTACGACTTTCTGAACTTTGGTACTGTTGTTTCCAGGACAATTGTTTGTACGGTAACCCGACGTACCCAGATTTTTAAAGACGAAATTGCCGACCTCAAACTTGTTAGTGCCATATTTGGCAACTATATGTGCGTTATTAGTTTAATTAAACAAATGAACAGGTTAATTAAACATAGTACCATTGAAGGTACCTAAAAGTAAACATTACAGCATTACAGGGAGGGGGGGGGGCGTGAAACCTTGTCGCCCCCCCCCCCACCAGTCGCCTCCCCCACTGAGATTTTGAGTTTCTAAAAAAATTATCATTGATCTACATGACCCCCCCCCCCATGAAATGTTCCAGCCCCCCGAGCGCCGCCCCCCCCCCCCCCCCCGAACAAAATCCTGGCTACGCCACTGACATTACATACAGGGGACGAAGTTGGAAAAGAAACACGCATCGCGATATCGGAACGCTTGCGCGTAGTTCAGGCAAGTCAAAAGATCTATCTTTCTTTGTTTTTTTATTTTTGTTTCCATAGAAAGTGAATTTCGATTTTCAATTATTTAGCTTGACCCACCCACCCACAATTTGGAAAAAAGATCGAAATTTTAAAACATTGAAAATTCTGAATGGCCCCTTACCATGTTACCACTCACTGTTGCCATGAGAGTGTATGATGAGACCCCATTTTCTGGCTGCTCATTTTAAAGTACCCCATTATTCCTAAAAAATTAAAAATCCCGTTCAGAAAAAAATTAAAAATCCATATCTGGCACATTCTGGCTACCACCTCGCAACTTGTGGGTCTACATGTACAACGCCACATTCTGTGACAAAAATTTAAAAATTAATTCAACATTTTCTAGCTCCATTATTTAAAATCAAGTACACAATTCTTGTTAGAAGTTAACTCCTATATTTATTTTAGGAAAAAAGAGGCACAATGTAAAATTAAAATTGAAATTGCATCTTTAAATATCCGTTAGAAGTCATAGCTGAAACCAAGGGGGTGACTGTGGAGTTTAGGATCCGAGTTCCTATAACAGATGAAACATCTCTACCTTGAACTTTTTACTTTTGTCACAATTGGGTGTAGACAACATGTCAAAGCCCATATTTCTTAAGTGTAACTACTTTTTGCTCAAGTAAGGTGTCATGTATCAATTTGTAAACATTGCCACTGGTCAAAATTTGGTCTGTATTCTTTGTGAATAGAAAGGTTACATTTTTCAACTATAATAACGTGTCTTGTTTTTTTTTATTTCGACTATTGTTATTTATTATCCTCAGTCTCGGTCTCGGTCTCGGACCATATTGGTCTCGGTCTCGGTCCGCCTTGAAGGGGCTGGTCTCGGTCTCGGTCTCGGTCTCGAATCTTCAGGTCTTGGTCTTGGTCTCGGTCTCGGACTATCCGATCTCGACTACAACACTGGTCACGAGATCACTCATTTCGCATCGGGGCTGGCACTGTACTGCACACAAATTGAGTGTTCACGCATACGCTATAAAACACTCCATGCACCAACTGACGTACAACAAAATAATGGGAATCCTTTTCAATTGACAGTCACGTCCACGTGAGTAATTGTGCATAATAAGAACAGACTTTTACATCATGTACATGACTTATTTGGCTACAGCAGGTCTTCAGTTGGGCCGCAGCTTTCAAGATCTTTTCGATTGTGTTTCTATTCATTCGCGGTATCCGTTGTCAATCTTTACACGTTCATTTATGGATATAGGTAAAACCCCAAGTGCAAGAGGCTCTCGGGAAGGATTTCGCTGTTTACAAAGCTGTGTTGTACATTGAGCAGGTTGTTGCAGGGATGAACTATAAAATCAAGGTAAGATAATTGAGGATATTTGTTGGTCCCAGAGAAGGCCTGCCTATAGTCCCCCTTATACGTCACTGACTGACTGACTGACTGACTGTCACTTGTGTTTCGGGCAGTGCTATCGTATAGTACCCCGTAGCTCCAGTGAATGGTTTAAGTCCGGCCCAATGTGTATACTCGTGCTGAAAAGACATCCATTGAATAGCCATTCAATTGTTTTCTTTTGTTTTCTTTTATCCTAGATCAACGTTGGTGGTACCAATTTCATCCACGTGCTTCTGTTCGTGTCGCTCCAAGGACTTGTGGAGTTTAATCAGGCCTGGGGTGGATTAAAGGAGGATGACCCTCTGGAACCTCCGAAGTAAAACTTAAAATGTTGTCTCTGGTCACGATAGGTCCTTAACCATTTCCCTTTCATCCTCGTTAGCCAAGGCAGTCTTACGTCGCAAGACGCCCTGGCAAACCGAGTTCTAATCTTTACTATTTTGACACTCATCGTCAGCCAATCCAATTCCCTGCGTAGACGTCAAGACATTTTCCTACACACTGTATATTCAGGTATGGAATTACAAGGTCAAATTTGTTGGCCAATAGGAGAGCGCTTTTCAGGACTGCACAGCGCGCTGCCATTTTATTTAGTAGGAGGTCAACAATAATCTAGGTCAGCTTTTGTAAAGAGCGACCTGATTGGTCAGAAATTATGTCAGTCCATAATTAGTTGGAAGTGTTCATGAATCGTTAATCACAGGAGATCAAATATAAGATATGGACTCGGTTTGCCGAGGTATACCGTCTTACGTCAGCACTGTTAAAGTTGATGTTACATGATAACTAGGACCTATTGGTAATTACTGGAAGCAAGACTTATAATATGCAACTATACGTACTTGTACTCAGAGCTTTAACTTTTGCTTACAAGTTTGCTTATACTAAACAACAATGTAGAGTAATTGATCATTAAGTTTCACGAGTCGGCCATTTGAATCAAACAGGATCCTCATTATTATCGCAAGCTACTCTTCAGACGAGAACAAATGAAGGTGATGCAAAGGAGTCAAATTATAGGCCCCCTATAGATGAATCCCTTTGGTCTGATGAATAATTTGACATTGTGGATTAAAAGCCGTAAGGCACGAAAGCAATTTTATATTTTTGAAAGTCAGACTTATCACTACAATTATTGTAAAATAAACTGGCATCCTCCCTATCAAGGGTATAGGCCTACAGGTGAATACATTAGATTCGGGAAGCACAATCTTAAAAAGTAAAATGGCCGTCTCGGGAATATGGACCATTGGAATGCAGACCAGTCAGTGCATCCAGTAGACATGAACTACAGGGTTGGTCCAAAAAAGCGAAACCCAAATGTCGGGACCATTAGTTTAGTGAAGTTCTACATGTAGCACTTTCAAAATCTGGGATATGAAAGCTCGATTCATAAGCTTCTTTTAGTCCAAGAATCCTTTAAATCACTTATGTAATTTTAGAGTTACGGAATTTTAAACACAACCACCGTTTTAAAGTTCTGTCCACGGATCACATGAAGGTACGTGTTCTTTCAGCAAAACGAAAACAAATCACATAGGGCTGTGCGTTTTGCTGAAAGAACGCACACGTTTTTTTGTGATCCGTGGACAGAACTTTAAATTGGTGGTTGTGTTTAAAATTCCGTAACTTTAAAAGTACAAGAGTGATTTGAAAGAATCTTGTACTTAAAAATACCTTATAAATTGGGCTTTCCTATCCTAGATTTAGAATGTGCTATACATGCAGAACTTCACTAAAACAATTGTCCCGACATTTGGGTTTCGCTTTTTTTGACTCACCCTGTATAAATACCCCCATTCGAAAAAAATCGGGGAAATTCAAAGGTTTTTTTTTAAAAAGACGTACATCATATTGAAGTGTTTTTTACATTTATACTTCATCGATGGCATTTGGGGATTTTTCCCCTTCAACGATGATCACGCCTAAAAGTCAGTACATGTAGTCCCGAAGCCCAAATTAGAGCGACTTGCGGCTTCAATTTTCATCAAAATTTCGCAAAGAGCTGGGAAATTGACAATGTTATACCAATTGACAATTGATAAATTGACATTCGTGAACTGTCAACTGTGGCCAATTTTTGGGCCTACACATGAATTGTACTGGTCTACAACCATGGCCTTCTGCACTTGATTAAAATTTATTGCTTAAGTTTTTTTTGAGTGGACAAGCTGAATGAAGAGTTATTGGGTGTACTATTAATTCCAGATGGCTCTCGGTCGAGTAGGTCAGTGAAGTACAAATTGCTTTAAACCCTATTCTCCCTCTTTATTAAAAGATACCTGTGGTATGATTGAAATTATATCAATGACGAAGAAATTTAATATTCCTCTCATCATTTCCTTTTTTACAACCACTTATCAGGGTCAAACTCCGTTACAAATGGAACTGCACCATGACACGATCGAGAACCATTTCCTCTTATATTCTAAAAGTTAAAAGCCTGTTTCAATTGTTATGATTTATAAGTGTTATTGGGTTAAAGGGATGCATCTATATACTCAAGTTTTAAAGCTTACAATTTTAATACTGCGAAGTTTTTCATTCAAAGCCGCATAGCCTTTACTCATCAAATTTCATTTTAAAACCCAGAATATTATTAGCAGGCTACACAAAGTGAGCGTTTTTGATTCCTTTCAAATTTCAAATACACTAAAATGTTCAGCCTTAATAAAAAGTTTTCTTAGCTGATTAAACTCATGTGATTACAAAAATGAAAGGTGTTGGCTTTTTCATGCATTTGATTAAAAATAAGCTGCGTATTATATCCAATCCATTAATTTTTTTTTATGTTTTCATGTGTTTTGTGTTTCTGTTGTTCCTGGTCTCAAAGAAATAAGTGTTTTCCCAGATGCAATAGATACAAGTCATTTGAATATAATCAGTGTTATTTAAATAATCAATTACAGAAAGAAAAACCAATTTGGAATAAATGACTGTTAAAGCTGAGCCCGGGAATTACAAAATAAAAATAACTGCCTACCTTTCGGGAGCCTGACAGTAGTGACAATCTGCATAGGCGTAGCAAGCGGGGGGGGGGGGGGGGGGGGGGGGGGGAGGTAAGGGGATATTTACCCCCCAATATTTTGTAAAGACTGCCTTTTTCCCATTTCAATGCCCTTTTTCAACGTGCTTACCCCCAACCCCCCCCCCCCTATAATTTGTAAAGAGTGCCCTTTTTACGAAGTGACATTTTTTTCTGAACAAGTGACCTTTCTCAGAAAAGAAGTGGTGCCCTTTTTTGTGGCATCTGCCGTTTTGGGTGCCTTTGTCAGAGTTGCGCACATGTATCGCCCTGAAAAGCACCATATATTGGCCCTTTGTGTGCATAATTGTCGGTTTTGAACAGCGCCCCCATCGACAGATCAAACGTAAGGGCTTAAAAAGAAACATTTACTTTACATTTTCATGTATGTAATAAAAATATTAAGCAGCGTATTTATATCTGGTTCAATACTGTCTTTGTTCCGATATTTTCATGTGGTTTGTGTTTCGCTTGCTCCTGGTCTCATAAAAAGAAGATAGGAAAAATAGTTTTTCCTAATTTTGCTCTGGTCTCCAGATTATTTATCGACATCTCCCGCACTTGTCCCGATCAAACCTAAATTTGCGATGTGTGTACAAAAGTCAAGTACAGTACAAGCACAATAAAGGCAACACTGATGATAATGGCGAATCGGGTCACTTGCTTCGAGATTATTAACCAGTGAGTGCGTATAAAGATATATACTTGTTAACTAAAACATGATAACACAAGACGAGTTTGTGTCAAGCGAAAGTTTAACAAAATTGTGAAGTTGATGTATAGAAATAACCTTCATGATTGTCCAAACAAATCCGAATTCATGTTTTAGAACGGAAATAATCACTGTTATTCAATTAATCACTCATGAACAAATGAGCCAAATTCGAAATAATTTGTATTTGTAATATGGGACAAGATTTGTAATAACTCGTGTTTCTATAATAAAGACAGCGGTGCCATTTTCATTCCGATTGATAACGCAATCGGGGCTGGTAAATCTCTTCAATTTGTTCATCTTCACCAATAATGGTGAACGATAATGATGGGAATTTGCTCAGTAATTCCCTGTTCAAAGCTTTCGAAATCAACGTACGTCACGAAGGCCAGTTTGGTTTCGCTCATCCAGGCCACCGAGTACCTGACTGTTACTTCATCATCAAACATTATGCGCCTTACTTCCTTAATGTAGTGGAATCCGTCTTGGTCCACTGACCAAAGATGGTTAGCGCCTCCGCTTAAGTCGGCTGCGACCAATTTGTTGCCGCGAAACACGATTGGTTCAAAGTTGAACTCATTGCTGTATGGGCGAGAGTCCCCGAGGAATTTCCCATTCAGATCAAGTAATCTCATGTGGTTATTACAAGAGGTGCTCAGGAGTAGCGCGCCGTTGAACGTGTACGACCTTGCTCTATCCAAGAGTTTGCCATATTTTTCAGAGTAATTTCCTGGCACGTCAAAAGTCTTGATGCAATCCCCAGATTCAAGGCTCCAGACCATGACGACATTGCCATCGTAGGCGCCGATGACGATACCATCCCCGAGATGACACGAAAGCAAATCTCTCGCCTGGACGGTGAATTGTTGTATACGGGAACCACTGTCTGCATTCCACACTCGAATGGTTTTGTCGTTGTATGCACCTGCAACGATCTTGTCTTTGTAATCCAGGTCATCAAGGCGCCGTCCTACAGAGCCACTCTGAAGGTTGTAACGACAGCAACCGTCTGCAGCACTCCAGACCCTTATGTCACTGTCTGCGTACACTTCATTCTTCCTGTACTCCTTGTAGGCAGTACTGACGATTGTGTTTCCATCGAAGAAGAGACGAAGCACAGGCAGACGATGCCCCGACATGACTTGCAGCTGCTCTCCAGTCTGGGCGGAGAAGGTACGAATCTTACCGTCCTTGCATCCTGCAGCTATGATACCATCCTTCATCTTCAGAGCGTCTGGAGCTTCACTGACATTTACTTGGATGAGATGACGGCGTTTGCAGTTGGAGACATCCCAGATTTGCATCGTGCCAATGGAGATACCAACAGCAAGACAGTCCCCTTCGCCAGCCATGTTACAGACGAGTGGTTCAGGACCAGGGCCAATGTATTCGAAGAGCCACTCTCTGTAACCAGCTGAGCCGAATTCGAACGAGGAAACGTGATAACGATTGTTCCGCCAATTCCCTTCCAGGTGGCGTGCTTTCATGTAGACTTCCTTCCATTTACATGTATCAACCAGTCCAGGCCAGTCTGAACCAGTGACAACAGCATCGACCGGGAATGTAGGAGCGCCCCCTTCGCCAGTCTTCTGCTCTGGTGAATTGGGTTTTAAAGGAACCTCTTTGCAAAGATCTGACATGGTACCGTAGTGCTCCCATCCTTTCCATCGACAAAAAGGGCGCCACAGGGCATCTTGGTTGGCCGATTCTCTCCAAGAACGACCACATAACGTCACGTGACAGAGATCATCAACAGTCAGATAACCGAAAACTTTCTCCACAAGTTCATTTGGCAGACAACCAAATCCGTCTTGAGACATCGCTGTATTTGGCTGTGACAAACCACCTTGCAGCTGCAAAGACAGAACCGAAGCACACGATCGCCATGTAAATGTGAGGTTAACTTATATTTTAAAACTAGAAGCTACGCATTTTTTTAGCTACTTAATGCACAGAGGCTTTTGTGCACAGAGGCTGTTGGGACCATTTTACTAGGCTTGTCTTGTTTGCTTTCATTCTCTCTTTTTTTTCCTTTTTTTTTTTTAAATATAACAATAAAATGAGCAGTCAGGCCTGAAATATGTTTGAAGTCGAATTATGTCAGACATAAACTGGAATTATGTCAGATATAAATCAGAGTTATCCAGCATGGCTTTCCATGTCGTGACCATGACCGAATATATGCACAAAGTGTGCGTAGTTATGTAGGTCTACTGTAACCATGCTGAATTAAGCTTGTGGTACTGCAGGAAGATTATTAAAATGCTACACGGCAAATATTGATATGAGGACCGGCACAGTAAATTTGTTTGTATATGGTGGACAGTGAGGAAGCTACATGACGTGCCTTACTGAAACGCGGTCACGGTGAACGGTCTATTTATGATTACGTTATCAAAATTCATGGATTACAATAATGTCAACTTACCACTAAACCTAACAGTTAATATAATAAGTAAAGAAAGGCACCTGTTTTTCAAAACCAGTTTCAGTTAGAGTGTGGCCTTGTATTGTCAAAATGGCTCCCGCAGAATAGAGACTCCAAAATACTTTGTCCCGCTTTACACTGTCACGTAGCGATATCAGGTTGGACTTTGGTACATGACATTGTTTACAAACTGCAGATCTATACAAAACGAGCTTCCATTTGCTGCACAGTATATCCTTATATAGGGATCCATGCATACTGCATGTATTGATGGAGGATTATTTTTGTATTCCTTCATTTAATACTCGGCTGCAGAGCAGTGTGACTTTTTTCGTTCGGTATTTCGTGCCACAATCTTACAGATTGTGTGGCGCTTCTCGAAATAATGAGTTTATTTAAGTAAAATTTGAGGCTTTGCATGGTGGAGATACTAAATAATGAAAGGTTTGCGGAAACACCATGTGTGAATAAATTTCTCAACTAAGAGAATGGTTCTCAAAAGAACCAGAGGTATAAACTCGACGTTCCGGTCAGTATGCTCTGACCGCCTTCAGGAGAATGCCTTCGCTTCTGCCACATAAGTGTTTACTTTCTCAGAGTTTAGGCATTCTCCTGAAGACGGTCAGAGCATAGGCCTACTGACCGGAACGTCGAGTTTATACCTCTGGTTCTTTTGAGAACCATTCTCTTAGTTGAGAAATTATTCACACATGGTGTTTCCGCAAACCTTTCATTATTGAGTTTATTAAAAAAAAAAAAAAAAAAAAAAAAAAAACACGTGGTTCACCGACTGACGGGCAAGTGACAAAATACTAATTGACTGTTTTTACATGAACTTTTCGCACACGATTAGAAATAAGCTACATGATAATTGAACCAACGATCGCATTGTAGTGATGCCATTTGATCTCTATTATTGCATATCTACGGTGGGGAAGCAGAGATGTCAAAGGAACATTTTTATGGGGGGACACTCGCCGCGGCGAGAGGGGGAGGGGGATGTCCCCCGCCGTGGCGAGCTACAACCTCGACATGGGGCGAGAACTGAAATGGTAACTCGCCGCAGCAACAATTTGGATCCGCTTCTCATTGCTTGTGGCCCATCTATGCTTATCAATAATCCTCATTGTAATTATTACGCCCATCCAGGTAAACTTAGATTTTCTCCTGTGACGCCATCTGACGCCAAGTTTACCATGTAGATTGTCCCCTGTGACGCCATCTGATCCAGTGTTTGGAGCCCTAATATGCCAGTTCTCACGATAGTCGTGCTTGATGGAATGCCCGATACGCAGTCTTTTGACTCTTTTAATTGTTACTTGTGTTGCAATGTGACCGGAACAGATCGTTGCATCCCTGCACCTGCGTATGCTATCACCTTGAGCTTCATTTCTCCAATTTTGGGGGTCTCTAATGTAGTGGGTCCGTGGAATGATGCCTAAAAGGACAACCGCACCGGCTACAGTCTCTAACCCCCCTGTCCACAATGCCGTTTTGAAAAAAAAACATAGATCCCTCCATACTGTTTAAAAATGTGCTCGTTTATTCAGAAATTCATGAAGCATATTTAAACTGATTGGATGTTTCCAAAGTGTCTTTCCCATTTGCAAAAGTTCTTTTTAAAAGCCCATCAGCCGGGTTGAAGCCTGCCGGTAATGCTGAGCCTGCATACTGCCAAAGTTACCAATGGTATCCCTACATTTTCTCGTGCAAATAGGACCCATTTTTGGACCCTAATTTTATCAAATCTGCTCTTAGATAATAGCCCAAAAGCTAGGGAGATGATTCTCGGCTATATTCGCACGATTCCACCGATTTTTAAACTAGACGGTCTCGTTTTTTACAATTTTACAAAAAATTGTGGGGGGCACTTTTTATGCAAATTAACGACTCGCGTAGAAATTTTTGAAACCCTAATCAAAATTATTGCGCCCGCTGTCGGTCTTATTGCGCCAATCTGATATATCTTCTGTCTAGCCCCCCCAGCCCCCCCCCCCCCCCACCACCACCACCACACCGAAAAATAATAGTAATCAAATACTGTTTAAAAAATGTGCTCGTTTATTCAGAAATTCATGAAGCATATTTAAACTGATTGGATGTTTCCAAAGTGTCTTTCCCATTTACAAAAGTTCTTTTTAAAAGCCCATCAGCCATTAGAGACACACTCTTGGAAAAAATGGTCCGGTTAACATTGTTAACTTATTTCTTATGATGGGACTGCGGTTTGGCCGAAGTCAATTGAGCGTGATCGGCTGACTGATAAGGTTTACGCACAAAACCCCGAGCCAACGGGCTAATGGCTGATGGGCTTTTAAAAAGAAGTCCACCTGAGGATTAGGCACACCTTGAGTATGCACAGGTATTAACATTCTAGCGGCCTTAATCGCTGCACATTGTATTGTATTTTTGGGATTCGACGAGGATATAAGGCTGGGTTCGACTCCCCTCGTGTCGCACACGCCAAACTACTACCACGGGGTCAGCCGGAGGCTTCGGTCCACTTCCCTTCGCTGCTGTTCTGTGTGTCGCCCCGCAGCTGTAATGTTTCGCTAGTCAACGCCGAAACGTCCCAAAAACCAAGTCAAGACGATGCTGGTATAGTGAACCCGCTTTTAGCTCACTTTCTCTGGTGGTCAGCTTCGATGTTCCAAGTCAAGAGCTCTCCATGGCTTGAGCCAGACTAGCCCATTTCTCTCCATAAATGGCTTGAGCCAGACTAGCCCATTGCTCTCCGTAGATGGCTTGGGCCAGACTAGCCCATTGCTCTCCGTAGATGGCTTGGGCCAGACTAGCCCATTGCTCTCCGTAGGTGGCTTGGCCCAGACTAGCCCATTGTTCTCCCTAGGAGTCCACTCCCGTGCCCACAGGCGTCCGTAGCCGCCTAGCCACGCCCATGTAGGACCCCAGCTCGTCACGCCTTGGTATTTTAAGTTTAATAACACATTTTATGATTGTATTAATTCATTTAATTGTAATCTTCTGGGTATCATTTCTCTTGTAAATATTAAATTAATTGTTCAAATCTAATTGCTGGTTTTCACTTTTGTCTTTCCTTTCGTTGTTTCTGCCGTGCCTTAGTTCGATTTAGTCGTTTGAATTTTGCGCACGTAACACACTGACCAGAGGTGGGTAGCGCCTCCGCTTAAGTCGGATGCAACCAACTTTTTACCGCGGAACACGATTGGTTCGAATTGAACTCATTGCTGTATTGGCGAGAGTCACCGTTTTAGTTAATTAATGGATAATAGGCAGAGTTGTAATGACTCGAGTCAATGACTCGACTCGAGTCCGACTCGAGTCACATTTTTTGGCGACTCGACTCGACTCGACTCGAGTCCCGACAGGTAAATGACTCGACTCGACTCGAGTCACTGCGAGCAAATGACTCGACTCGACTCGAGTCCCTCATCAGAATGACTCGACTCGACTCGAGGAAGGCTAATAAGACTCGAGTCCCAAAATAAAAGCAAAACTTACTTGTGAAAAATATTTGCAATGACTTACGCTGCGCCGTTCGCGTTGCCAGTTTTTGTTCACGTCACGTTAATGTTCGCGAATAATGTACGTTTAAATACAGCGGCAGTCTGTTTCCTTCCTCCATAATGAAACAACAAACATACACCGTGTCGCGGACTCCCACCTAGTGGTTCTATAGCATGCAATGCTAAACCCGGAACCAGACTTAAAACGCATTTCTCAATCCGTGGTTTCATCATTGGTTTCGGGCGATTTTGAAGTTCTTGGTGGAACGCTGGCTAAATTCATGTCCCGATTTCACACAAAAAAATGGATACGGACGGGCCCACCTTTAAATAATCAGAAACAGTTTTGTATAATGCATTTAGGTTTTAACGTTGTCAACGATCAGCGAACAACAAAATCTAGACCAAACCAGTTATAAGACCGAAGTTTCACATCTTCTTATCTGTGACGTGAGCTAGCAATGGAAACTGTTGGTTGGGTACCATACAGCATACTTTATGTCTTTGGATTTCCGTAATAGACTGGTGCCTCGTATTCTTTCTCTCTTGTGTTTGTTGCTTTTTATTGTAATTTAGTGTTCAAATATTTGTGACTCGAATTGACTCGAGCTAAGTACTCGACTCGACTCGACTCGACTCGACCACACTCTGTGACTCGACTCGACTCGACTCGACCTTGTTGACCTAATGACTCGACTCGACTCGAGTTACTTCTTTAAAATGACTCGACTCGACTCGAGTCACAAAAATCAGTGACTCGTTACAACTCTGATAATAGGGCGATGCAAGTTGGACAATATTCTAAATGAAAAGACGCCATCAATGTCCCCGCCTCGTCGATAACAGTTCACGAACAACATGTATGTGACATTGATTCCAACCCCTACCCCTGTCTCATATACAGTCAATTCTAAATAATAGATCATTTCAGGGTTAAATGCATCATTTATTTAAATATATATCTTTATTTTTATTCTACAGAAGCGGTCTGTGAAAGAGAAGATGATAAACTATGTTCAGATGAGCAGATATGGACGCGCTTTTCGTTTGGCACTTAGCAAGACGTCTTCAAGAAACGAGGACAGAGCCATGCTAGAGAACCAGGCAAGAAAGGAAATAGACGTCTTCTGCAAAAAGCGATCTGTGTGCAGTGAAAACATTTCCCGCGAGGCAGCAGAGGCATTTAGCTGGCATCCTTATCAAGGTATATCAGTCAGCACTGCCACTACTTTGGTCAGTTTTAAAGGGATGTGTGAGCAGAAGTGTACAGCTGCAAGAGAAGCTCCAATGGTAAAACCAAAAGCTAGATTGAATGAAATAACTTTCCATCATTGTAAGACCTAACGTGGCCAAAACATTGTAGCTTTATCGTCTTTTAGGTGCGATTAAATTATGTTAACTTTTATACCCTGACATTAATATTTGGTGTTCTTTTTGTCAATTCTACAGGTGAAAAGACGGGAAGCCTCATACCCGGTACGGGGCTCGTCCTATCAAGATGCCAAAATGCGTCGACCCAAGAAGTTCAACATGGTGCCCGCATTGATTGGACTGATTTTCTACAAAAATGGATTCAGTTCGGCAGTAAGCAGAGTAATTTTTTTTCTTCAAAATTCAATATTGCAAAATAAACGGAGTTTCACTGAAACTGCCGAACTTGGCTAAAATAAGCCTTCGTACTAATTACCTCACACTTTGTTTACATGTACGCTTTCTTATGGGAGCCAGTTCGGGACACTGCTTTGTAGTCCCTTACAAAAAAGCACTTGTAAACAAAGTGTTACGACATCAGTACATAGGCTCATTTGACCCATCTCAAATGGATGCTGCCACAATTATTGTTTATAACCTCCTCTTGCAGGTTCCCCTGGTGCCTTTCATACAACTGGCCTGTGTAACGGGTCGTATTCCACGAGATACATTGACAGATATGGTCGCGGATATGACGATGAAATCCGAAGGATGAAAAAAGCTATCGAGGTACAGCCCATACCCTTCTTTAATCAATGGCTCGATTCTGTATTACAAAATGAACAAACAGCGAATATTGTAATCACTGTTTTAACCTCTTGCAAATAGCTAACGTGTATGAACCAATGATGAAGCCTTATTTTAATCACAGGTAGCATTGGAACTAGGATCATCCATTCCGGATCCGATGGCAATGACAGAAGCATCAGAATCTGAGGAGTTTGACTCGAACGAAGATTCCTCGGACGGAAGATAGCTCAGGAGCGGATGACGGTGAAAGCGATGGTCCTGATGACCAGCACTGACGGTACATAGACGCCCTAGCAATATTGATCATATTTATCCGAAGAAGTTCTTCCACGATTGAAATTCGTGTACAAAACCAATGAGAGATGTTACTAAAAAGTTTGAGCACAAACAAAGGAATCAGGATAGGGACAATAGGGGGTCCACGATTGAAGCTAAACACACACTTGCAGGTTTTTCTCCACAAACTCATTTCTAGTTATATTTCTGTCGTTGATTAGTTTGGTTTGGATGTTGCAGATGGACCACATGGATACGTACTTTGCTGGGACAACGTCCAAGTGTCTGTTGAGAGGCGGCATCGTACGTCAATCTTCCAAAACCGCCTCTTACAGTGGGGTCTCGCCTTCGCAGCGATAAAATCGTATCAACTGCGTCATAGAGACCAACACCGGCATGAACACAATACACGCACAGTCTCTACCTTTGAGTGCGTTTCTTCCCCAAGCAGAGGATTGGCTCGCCTTGCGAAGGAGAATGGAAATTCTCGTTGCACGCATCATCACACGTGGATCCTTGACAGGTCTGGAGGCAATTGGGGAAGGCACTACAACTGAACACATTGCGCATGAGTACACAGAGGAATCCTGCCAAAAAAGTACACTGGTGGGTTTGATTTTCAATAATATATTTACACGATAATGATGGAAAGTGTGGAATGTTTCTTGTCTTGAAAGTGATAAGTGATTTCGATAAAAATGCGTGTGAGAATAATGAAGAGTTGACTTTTTTTATGTGGTACCTCTATCTTAGATCAATCTCGGCGTTATCAACGAAAATCCATCAAGTGCCAAAGGGGTATTTGGGATAATGTCACGATTAGGCCAAAACAAAAAATAAGGCGGTCTCTGGTCAGCGCGCGCGTCGATTTTAATCATGCGCGTCAATCTTTTTTTCCCCAAAATGTTCCGCGGTAGCTCCAACAGCGCCCTCTATTGCCGCACCTCCTCATTTTTTTTTACCAAACAGCACCAAGGAATGGGAAATTGCACCAAGGCAAATGATCGAGAGCACCAAGGCAAATTATGGAGGACACCAATGTACATGAGGACACCAAAACAGCAAAATAGTACCCCACCTTGTCTGTACAATCCAAGCTTGAACAAAAAACAAATAAAGCAAAAAAAAAAAAGCCGCGTCCCCGCGTCAATTCCGGAACTTTGGTCTGACCAGAGACCAAATATTTTTTTTTTGGCCTTATCTCAGTAAGTGCCTTTAACACCTGATGGAAACCCATATCCCATCATCTGCAATGGTGACCAACTGTCGGTGGAGAGGATGGTAGAGGCAAGGCTAGTACAATCGTCGGCGTCCTCACCACTTGACAGGTTTTGTGGCCTCAAGCCTACGCCCCAAGAGTTCCACAAGAGATGCATCATTCTTTAGATGCATATGTGACAGTGAGGCAAAATGAGGAATGTCCCCCAAAACCTTATTTTGAGTAATCGAAAAATACAGACAAAAGAGAAAAATCTGAAGAACGTTTTTCACTGCCGTTGGCGGCGCAATGCGTGTCTTTTTTTCAAAGCCGTGCATAACCAACCTCGTCCCCAGTGCTTACTTTATTTCAAACCTCTTTTCCAATAGTAAGCCCCGGATACACATTGCTCAATAAAATTAATTTAGTTAAGTAACCCTGGTTATGTTAACACAATAAATACACTTTTGTGTAATCGCAACTGACTCAATGTTTAACCCCTTTCGTTGTTTAGGGAACGATTGGTATTGTTCCGAAAAGTGCGAGGCAACAACGAAGAAGACCAACAAGAAGCCGGACTTTCTTCGAGAGTATAAGCGGGCTCTTGCGTGGCATGAAATGTTTCAACTGGTCCACAATGATGCAGAACGTGAAAATGATGGGCCGTTTCTTATCCGACTGTGGAAGCTATGCGTCCCTCTGTTTTGGTCTAGGGGCCATAACAAGTACCTCATACTAGGCCATCGGTTATTGGCAGGTAATGAATTTGTTTTGTTTATAACTATTTAACATTTATTATATACCTCTTGATCACACACACAACACCTCATGTAAAAGGTGTTGAGAAAAACTGAAATGTATACCCATAGAAATGTGTCCACGTCTTGAACGTGTCATAATTGTAATTATCGAAGAATGCAGGAAGCACAGAGCGCGTATAGGAAACTTCGGTGTACAGAAACGTCATAATAACCGTTCATCTGTCGACCGTTTCTACTTTCTACCCATTTATTCTACACGGCAGGTGTAAATGGCTGGCTCGAACCAAGAGTGAAACACGACATCATTTGGAATCGAACATCGAATTTGAGAGGTGGTGCAGGCAACAACTTAGCATTGGATTTAGTAAATGAGTTTGAAAATCTAGAGTTCAAAAAGTAAGTATTGAAAAATGGTGTTGGAAGAAAATCCGCGTAGCTTTACATAATTTTTTTAATCATCTAGGAAAATGTGATTTATAAATTATGTTTCTATATCAAATTATAATACATGTACATTATTTGTGCTGTTTGTCCAAAGTCCGTTTAGAATTGGGGAAGGAAAACTTAATTCAGTAACGATATTTTTTTTATAGCGACACTGAAGCACAACCATGAAAATTATTCTGAGGCTCATGTCCACCGCATTGGAAGTATTGGGAGATCCCTACAGGAAATAATGACCACTCAGCTCACCGAGAAATACGTAGGGAAGACATCAACAAAATTGTGGGCGATTTAGCGACAGATAAATTGTTCAGCACTGTTGCATCTCGAAAACATCCTGCATTTAGCTCCTTTCTGCATGAAGTACAATATCCCCAATTCCCGCAAACTTCTTGGACGTCGAAGAACGTACAGTAAGAAACTGGACACTGAACGTGTGATGATAAATTAGAAACATGTATAGAATAAGGGAATGAATAACTTGGTATTGATGAATTGTTTTAATTTGCCATACTATGTACATGTATTTATCAATTTGTATAATGATTTTGCCCATAACTCAAAAACCTGGTCTGATTCCTCATTTGAAATGCGACACAATATCATGAATACCTGTAGGCCTACCTCTTTCTAATTATGAAGGGAATTTTTTATCCAAGTCTACACAGCATCTTTCACTTTCTTCCAAAGAGAATGGATAACACGCTATATTGCGGATGATTCCCTGCCCGTGAGACAATTAATTTTGTGCTCCTTTACTTCCTTGTACATGCGTTTGACGCCTGGATCTCTCCTGGATGACATGACTGTGCTGGCCGTGAAATATACGAAAGCTTCGGCAGGCTCCCCATTTCTACCGATGCGGCCTACTTCTTGCAACGCCCATCCCAAATGCATCGTGCAGCTGAGACATTGGATTCTTGAAGTTGGTTGTGAAAATTCCTTCAGGATTCGTGTTTTATCAACATCTGGTAGATTACCTTGAACGACTCATCAAGCAATTCATCGCGTTTTACTTCGCCCAAATTTAACGAAACGCACACTTTCCTAGCGTTTGTCTTAAGCTAGCGGTCAACTTGCCAAGCGAGGATAAAGAGCTGGAAATATAAACATAAAAAAATAGTTTAATAATTTGTACTGGAAATAAAATCCAGACTTTAAAAGCACAATTTTATTTTAAATGATCACCACTTTGTGTTGAGATAAAAATTCGAAGCACCGTGACCTTCTTCAGAGAGAGAGACAGAGTTGTTAGGGGTTCTAGGGGAAGAAATTGTTGTAATTGGATGTTGGGAAAGACAATACTTTTAGCTTTATATTCAACACGCCCTGTTAAACATGGCCCAAATGTACTGTATACCTGTTGACAAACACCACACACTTTGGTGCGTCGGCTTTCTTTTCTGTTAGCATCTCGGCATACCAGGCAATCTCCTCATCAAACTTCATACCACCCTTCCCTTTAAAATACAGGGTGATGTTTGGCCTGCAGAAAGTGTACATTAAAGAACATATGACAATATAAAATGCTCCCTGACAAGTGCTGGTAGAAAAATATTGATAATGATAATGTGTAACTCAAATGGACCGAAATACCTGTCTGGCGATGCATATATTTCTGTCACATCCTCGGGTACTAAATGTAGACATTCAAGCACCTTATAACAGCCCGAATTGCTGAGCCTGTGCCAGTTAACATCAAAATGGGCACGTCATCCATTTGGCTCCGCAGTCTACCCAATTTGATGAAAGCGGGTCTGAAGGAATCACCCCTACAAATAAATTCAAAACAAAAATGGTGTTTTTCGGAACTTAATAAATTCGAAATGGTTAAATGGAAATACGAACTCTTGTCATAGCTAGTTGCGAGATCACGATTTCCGACGATAAGAGCAGACTATAAATCATGCAAATTATACAAATTCACTAAATTAGTCCGTTTACCAAATTATAATGGTATACAGTAGTGTAACTACAAGCAAGAGCGTAAATCCCGGGGGCGATATATACACACTCCGATCCCCTGTCGCCCCCCCCCCCCCATGAAATGCCCCATGTACAAAAAATGGACCCCAACAGTAACAGTGCCCCTTGCAAGTTTCAACCTGTGTAGATACGCCGCTGTTATAAAAGAAGAGAAAAGGGTTCGTTTGTTTTTCTCGTTTAATTTCAAATGTTACCATTCAGGAACAAGGTGCACTTCATCTATTGTTATCAGCCTCAATTTCCTTACAAAAGCTGTTGGTAGATTTGTCAGCTAATAATCCAGTGCTTCTGGGGTAACATCAAGGTCCCCACTGTTGACTCCTTTATAAAAAAAATTTAAAAAAGAAGCGAAGCTGTTAATTTTGATTCTAAAGTTGGACTATTATGGTGATAAATTGGCGAGTTCTGAAAATTACATTTGATGAAGGTTTAATTCTATATTAAATGTTAGGAAAAGTGATTAGGGCCTATGACACCTGAAAATGTTTTGGTCTATACGAAATGGCAATATACTCACTCAATATGTCTTCTGGCGCCATGTTTGCTTTGTTACAGAGCTCTATTGCCCTAATATTTCGGCTTGCAGCCCACTCCAGTTCGGATTAGCCATGAGTGCTTTTAAAGGCGACACCACTAGTCCTATACCCTCGTCTAAAAGTGACGGCACAAACTAGTAAGTGTTTTACCATATCCCGTTGGCAAGACCCAGAGAACAGTCTCCTTGTTTGCTAGTGCCCTTAGAATTTCCAATTGTTTCACACGCAGTTTTTCCGGGAATCCCGGGTGGCGTTCACGTAATTCCTGGTATTTCTTCTCCATCGCTTCAAAGGGTTATGAGTCCAAGACCTGGCTGCATTTCTAGCTTCTTCATTCTTAACGACACATTCCTAATGGTAAGCCCCCTGGCTTTGATGGCCTAAGTGTTTGTGTTATCAAGCAGGCTAAGTATGTTTTAGCAACGCCACTTGCTTTTATCTTCAATGGGTCTGGTTACAGGTGTTTTTCCAAATGGTCTAAAGATAGGAAAGGTCACGCCAATATATAAGAGTGGCGACTGGCGACAAACAATATTGGTAATTAAAGACCTATTACAGTATTATATACATTCGCAAAAGTTTTTGAAAAAAAATAATATACTGCCGTCTTATACTACTTTTATAAAATAAACATAACCTTTTGTCAGTATCGCAATTCGGTTTCAGAGAAAAGCGATCAACTGAAGTAGCAACGTCGTATTTTGTTAATAAATTGCTCAAAGCCATCGAGAGTAAATTTTCTATTGGTATTTTTTGGGACCTTTCAGAGGCTTTCGATGCAGTTAATGTTGTAAACTGGAAAACTATGGTATTCGTGTTGTAACCTTAAACTGGTTCAAAGTTATTTGTCTGAACGCAAACAATTTGTTTCTTATAACTCTGTAAATTCAAACCAGCAATCTATCCACTGTGGTGTTCCCCATGGCTCTACGTTAGGCCCTGTACTATTTATTCTGTATATTAACGATATATCTATTATATGACATCCTATCCTTCTGCCTGTTTGCGGATGACACAAGTTTGGTGTACAGCCATATTACAATGTGGATGCAGCTATTCGGATTATTAATATTGAACTTCAAAAATTAGTACTTGGCTTTTAGCAAACAAATTGTGTATCAATCTGTTGAAAACTAACTATATGATATTTTCTTTAAGACAACAAAAGTATACCCAATCTGTTCCACTAGTTTTAAATGATAAACATTTAAATCGTGTCACGATTACCAAATTCCTTGGTGTGACAATGGATGAACATCTTACATGGAAAAAAACATATCAGTGATATCTCGAGCAAGATATCAAAATCTGTTTGTATAATGAATCGCTTAAAATTCTTCATTCCAAGCAACATTTTAGTTATGCTTTATAACTCTTTGGTTCTCCCATATTTAAACTATTCAGTTCTTAACTGGAGTAGTTCCTCAGTAAATTTGATGAAATTTTGTTGTAACATAAACGAGCTGTTCGCATCATTTCTAATGCTGGACACTGTATTCATACCGCCAACTTATTTGTAAATATAAAACTGTTACGAATTAAAGAAATCTACTACTTAAATTTAGGTAAATGTATGTATAAGTACATGAATAATGCATAACCTGGTTGTTTTAGCTCATACTTTTTGTTATCATCAAACATTTATTCACACAATACTCGAGGTGCTTCTAGAAAAAAATATCCATGTTTGTTACAGTCGAACGTCCTTGTTTAAAAACAGTCTTATTCAACGTGGTGCAAATTATTGGAACAGTCTTAGTAAATCTATATATGAAAAAATCACCATCACAGGCTGTATTTGTCAAAAAAAAAACAACTTCTTGATGCAATGCGAAAATTATGTCGTATTGTTATGTCTTAGTACCTGCATGCACACTCATTTGCTATTGTAGTCCTTTCCCTGTCTGTCTCATTGTCCTAGGTTATAGGGGTACAAAAACAATTTTTGCTTCACCAAAACCTAAATGTTGTTCTTTGTGTAATAATTTGATATTAAACTGTAATATTGTATCAACTTATTGAAAACACTTTACATCCAAGGACAGCATTGAAATAAATGTACTACTACTACTGAAAAATGAATAAATAAATTAATAAATAAATTGGGAATAACGCCGCTTGTAGGTCAAAATAAGCAGTTGCGCATGCTCAAAAATACTAGTTTCAGCATCACGTGCGTGTAATCCAAACTTCCCATAATTCATCGCTCACACGAAACTGCCAATAAGGCTTTATTTCGACACATGAGTATTCCAACAATTGATGTTATCCATAATATTGTAATTGCAATATAATTTGTTCCATCTGCCGGCCATACCAAATCACAACACACGGCAGGGGACCATATCAAAGTATTACATAAAACAGTCGTATACAATGATTTTTCTTAATTGAATCAAATACTGGAACTTACTTAATTGTTGCAACTGTGCGACGTTGCGTCCGAAACCATCGGACTTCGCCAGGCAACTGGTGACCCGGTGGACTGGTCACGTGAGAGACGGCTAGGAATCCCTTGAATGGCCCGGTACCATGCATGTGATAGGTTGAAGCGTAGCCCCCCCCCCTTTTGTTGAGTGTTGGTCGTTCGACCCTTTCCCAGATGGCTTCCTTGATGTCTCTTTTGT